TTCCCTACCCCTGCTCACCTGAGCACCTGGGGCTGTCAGCTTTGTTGTGTTGAGTTGCTGAGGCACCTGTGCTGATTCCTGTTGTGATCTGTGTGTTGCAGCTGTGAGATGTGAGGCTGTAACCTGGCCAGAAGGCGGCTTTGTGACCTGTGACCACAGCCCTGCAGATCTCACTTATCGCTCACGCTGTGATTTTGGTTGCAGTGAGGGCCATGTTCTGGATGGCCCAACCAGCATTGAGTGCACGGCACAGGGGCAGTGGTCAGAGCCAGTGCCAAAATGCAAAGGTGAGACTTTTACTGGGTTGGCAAATGCAGTTGTCAGTGGACAACACACTGAAATCCATATTCCTCTATAGTCCTGGCTACAGACTAAACTCTTAGTGTTTTCCTGTGTTGTCAGCTGTAACTTGCCCTGCTTTAGAAATGCCTACTCATCACCCCGTTGACTGCTTCCATCCCAACGTCTAATGATGCTGAAAATAAGGCATACTTCTACTAGTGCAGAAAAAAAGGCCAAGGGCAGGAAAGTCCTTAATGATTCTTAACCGTTTCTTTCTGTGTTTCAGTTGTACACTGTGAGCCACTGAGCTCTCCTGAGAAAGGATCTATGGACTGCTCACATGGTGCTGGGAATTTCACGTACAACACAGCCTGCCACTTCAGCTGTCTAGAAGGATGGAGGCTCAATGGTTCTCATGTTCTTGAGTGCAGTCATTCAGGAAACTGGAGTGCCAGTCTGCCCACGTGTGAAGGTATTTTACCTGTGACTAGCTAGGTGACGCTGGGTTTCTAGTCAAATGAGGTAGGGAAGGATAGAGGCGGTAACACCAACCAGTGAGCTTAGAACTGCTAGTGAAGTCCAGGAATTAAAAAGCCCAACAAAACCTCTCAGTATGTTTTTTTTCGACACAGAAGAGGGGGAAATTCTTACCCTAAAACAAAAGCTGTAGCCTGGTTTTGGGTTGTTTGGTTTGGTTTTTAATTAAAATATTTCTCATGTTGACCTTATTCCATATGAATAAAGAAAACCAGCTTTTTTAAAGAAACAGAACCTTGTGGGGAAACCTGCATTCATCAGTCTGTTTCTCAGTGGAAAAGTTCATAATTTGTTAATTTGAAGTCATAGTTTCTTGGGTGAACTCCTCAGCCTAAAGACCTCACAGAGCTTTTCTGTCTAAGGTTGTAGTTTTACAGGACAGAAGTCTCAGTCTTTTGCCTTCCCATGCAAGGCAGTAAGAGCTCTGTTGATGTCCTCAAGTCCTAAAAGCTCAACTCTGCTTTGTGTGAGCAGAATTTAGAACCTTGTATAATTCCATTGATCTCAATAGGATTGCTCAAAGAGGAAGACAGTACAGTGGGAGTTAAAATATGAACTGAAACATGAAAAATAAGAGGAGCATAAACTGTCATATGAGGCTGGAGGCTAGCCAGACCCTGGTATAGCTTGTTGCCTTGCTATTGCTTTGGCAATGGGTGGGATCATTTTTTAGTATGCAGCTTTTTACCTTGTGTACAGGACGTGCCCTGTCTCAGCGAGAGAAAACTTAAGGGTTACAAGCTGCAATTCTGGTTCTTCTTGAAGAGCACAAGGAAATGGAAGAAGTAGAGAGGGCTTCAGAGACCACATGTACCTCTTGATCTCACTGAAACTTTTTCATCCTTTCAGCTTCTGAACAATCCAGCTATATCTCTGTGGGCATAGCAGCAACAAGTGCCTCTCTGCTGTCCACGGCATCTTTCCTCCTTTGGCTGGCAAGACATTTCCGAAGAAAAGGTGAGCAATTGGACTGAAAAAAGTATCAGTGGAGAAAAAACTAAACACAGCAAACTCCAACACCAATACCTTGGTTTTTGAAAATGTGAAAATACTTTTTCACTTTTTCTATACTTTTGAATTCCAGAATTATTTTCAAGAGGCCTGCATACATGCCATGTTTGGCTTTTGGATTAACATTTGAAAATCAAAAATAGCAAACCTCAAATATTTAGAAAACAAAAATTAGAAGAAAAAAAGCAATATTCGATTTATCAGTAATTACGGCCAGGGAAAATGAATGGAAATTTGAGATGGGGCTAGTGACAGTACAGTAATAACTGCCTGTGAGATTTTTTGCTAGATAACGGCTTTTTGACAGATATTCAGAAATAAGAGGTTTTTCTAGTAGAAGAAAAAGTTTTGCATGAAGGGGCTTTCATCTTCAGATGCTAATACTTTTTCCTATTCTTCTTACAGCAAAGAAATTTACTCCTGCCAGGTAAGTTGTGTCTCAAAGCATCATGAAAAACATTCCAATTACATTGCTGAAATCCATTTGATATAGACTTGTTGTCATTAAAATACTGTTTTGTTTTGTTTTTTTAATAGTAGCTGCCAGTGCCTAACCACTGAAGGGAGTTTCCAAAGTGCTGGCCAGAATGTCTAACTCCAGGTGTTTCAGGTAAGCACATGAGATAGCTGCATTCACAATTTCTCTTCCTTTTAATCACAGAAGCAATAGAAGCTGTTAATTGCTATACAATTGCTGAAACTGCAATATGTGCTTTGGAGTATCTAATACGTGTTTTGGCATTGCATGGAAGTTCCTAACAAGACTGATGGATTTATTGCCTTAGAAATGGTTTATTCAGCTCTTTAAGGATGATTGTGCTTAGCATTCTGCCTAGCCGCATGTAGTATTACAACACTTTTGTGCAGTTTTTGCTACCTGCTCCATACAAAATTCCTCTGAAATGACAGCAAACACAAATCTATGCTAATTTTCCCATTTATAGAGGAATTTTGTTCTCTCTGCAGGAATTGAAGCCATCTTTACTTATGTCTCAGAGATTTCTGGAGAATGAAACTGCATGCAAATCAGCAGCCCTCCAGATGATTTTACCTCTTGCTGACAAGATGATTGACCTTGTGTTTTGTTCAGAAATTTTGAACTCAAGCTGCCTGGTACTTCCATTGAAGACAAGCAGAGAGTAAACTTCTGGCCTTCTGGCAAAATGCTGTCTACATTCGGTCATGTAGTTATAACTGGGAGCTTGCCATCTCTCATCTAGATGGTGAGCAAGGAGTAAGCTGCTGCCTAAAGAGGAGGCTGGTTCCTCCCCTGGTTTACTGAAAGGTACTAGGTGAGGTGAAGACATGCATTATTTCACATCACTGACTGCACTGGTGGAGATGTCTTTTCTGCAGATGCATGGGTTATACTTGCAGACAGGGAATAAACAGGATGAAAAAATATTCACTGAATAGTGTTGAAACCATTGATCCTGTTTGTTGTTGAAGTCAGTTTATTTTAAGAGGATGTCCCAGTCAATACATACACCTGTAGTGATATGGGCAATTATTTGGGTTTCTGCTGCATGTCCCAGAAAGCTTAGAGACTTTAAACTCTTTTTTTGTAATAGTACTAGGAATCATAGTGCTCATACTAAGTACTCTGGTTTCTGAATGCAGTAAGTAGATCTGAAATGATCTCATCCCTGTGGGATTGTGTGCTGTAATATAGGCATGTACATAAATACTGAATGTGGATGTTTCTGTGCTGTTAACTGTAAATGTATTGTAAAGTACTTGTTTGTAAGTAGGTCTGTGGCTGTTGATCTAGGTTCAAGTAATTTAAAAATAATTCAGAGGTGTTTGTAAAGATTTCATGTCTTCATATTTACAAGCAAAACAGAAGCCTGAGATTTGTGTGTTTTGTAATTATGATTTATTAAGCTCTTAAAGGACTTCAAATGAGAACATCTTTCTTAAGTTATGTTTAAGTTATAATCATAAATTAAAAATCCCTGACTTAGAATCTGATATATATTGTCCTATTTGTAACAGTATTTAATAAAACGTTTATAATGCAATGCTCCCTTTTTGGAAACGCAGATCATTTAAAAGATTAAGGTCAGCCCTGTGGATATGGCTTCAGCAGCAGAATGTGA